CTCTCTTCCACTCAATCTGTAGTTGGGAACGTTAAGTACCAGCATCAGTCTGGCTTTGGAGAGTTTCTGATTGGAATGAATGCAAGAGAAACTATGCCCAGGAAGGAAGAAGGAAGATCAGAGAGGGAAAATCCTTGACTCTCTTACTACTGACTTTAGGTCCCTGTGGAGGCTTTGTTTGTTTAAAGTGAGAATTCAGGCTTCTTCATTTGTAAGCCTTAGTTTTTCTCATCAGGACCAGACTCAGTATGCGTATTTAAACAAAAAGCCACTGCGTACGCCTGGAGACAACCATTTATTTTGTGAATCTAGCGTTCAACTTCCTCAGCAGGAAGAAGTGACCTCTAAGTGGCTGTGCTTTAGCCTGGTGGCCTGGGGCTCCCACTGCAGTTTGTCTTCCCTCTGAATGGTGGTAAATGTTGTTTACTGACTGGTCTTGGGGCTCAGGGCTCAGGGGCCTCTGTTCTGCTTCAGGAATATTGGCTTAAGAACTATTCTTTTCCTGAACTTCAACCCTTTACTGCACTGAGGTCTTGTATTTTCCCTGAAGGAGTTGATGAGTCCGCAGAATTCCAGAGTCCATAGTTCTAATCGTTGGCTTCTATGAAAAGGAACCTAGATTCTAAATGCCTTTGTTTAAACATTATTTCCTAAGTCACCGTGTAGAGCCGTGTGGGAACTGCAGCAGTCCTGAAGAGTCTTGTGTTGGTGGAAGAATCCTTTTCTCTCCTGTACGGAAAGACACATCTCATTCTGCTGAGTGTCATATTGACATACTAAAACCTGAGCCCTTGATCTATGGTCTCCAAACTCCTCCTGTTTATCTGATGGATTTTTAATCAAGGTCGTGGGTATATTTCAGTGATAAGTTTGTTCTTTGAAAGAGTTGGTCACATTGGTCGGTGTCTGCCTCACCACCTTGAATTCAGGCCTTTGACTCATTGTAATCTGATGGCCTCTGTGGGTTCTCTGTGACCCCCAAGGTACCACAGCAAAACTTGCCTGGGTCTCCCTCTGCTGCCTTTGATGGGATTGGTTGCTAGCTTCACAAGGGGGTGAGGTGGGGGTGTAGATGTTGTCCCTTTGGCTCCAAGCACCATCCATCAGCAGCCATGGAATTGCTAGCCCTTACCTCTTTTCAAAAGTCGGATTCTACATCTAGCACCCATAGTAAATGTCACTTGAATGCTCCGTATGCACTAAACCCATCCCATACCTGTGCCTCCTGCTGCACTCCTGACCCTTCTGCCCAGAAGCCCAAGCCAGGGGCTGGAGTGCCACCCTCAGTCCTACCTTCCAGCCACTATATCCAGCTTCCAGTCCCTGTCAGTTCTGCTGCTGACATCTCTTGATTCCATCTCACTGTCGGGGGCATCAGCCTCTTCACTAGTCCCGTTGGTCCACTTTTACCCTCCTCCAGTCCAACCTCACAACTTTCTAAGCACAGATCTAATCACTTCACTCTCCTTGTGAAACCCTGTAGTAGCTCCCTGTCACCTCACAGGAAGGCCCCATCTTCTCACCATAACTTGTGTTCCTCTTCATTACCTGGTTCCTGCTAAACTTCTAGAACTTTATCCACCCCAATTCTGGCTTTTTGACACCAAACTGCCCATTCCCAGGCCCAGGGTGCTACTCTGGTCCTCTGGACCTTTGAGTGTATTATTCTCTCCGCTGGAAACACCATTACCACTTTTCCTCACCGGACTCATTCTTGCTTCAAGATTCAGCTTGGAGGTGATCACTTCCTTCAGGAAGCTTTCCCTAATTCTTGTGTCACTCTACATGTATCTACTACTGTTTCTCAAACTTAATACTTACCCTTCTATATTGAGATTATCTGTGTTTGTGCTTGTGTCTTCCTTTAGACTGTGAGTTTATTGACCATGTTCTGTTTGTTTTGTAAAATATAACCTACATTGAACCATGTTTTATTCATTCTTGTATCCCCAGAACCTAGTAGATGATCGATAAATGTTTGATCTGAATTGATCATTTCACTCCCAGTTCTGTATGTAATAGTTAATAGGAAATTCTCAGCTCTTTTCTTCAATCCATGAGCCCTCAGATGGACTTAGAGAAGGGCAGTCATGGATAGAAAGGTGGTGACCTCTGGAAAGCATTCCCTCCAGCACTTCACCTTGTCCAGGGCCCCACCGGTCCCAGGGCATTTGTGGGCATTAATCTCTGTCTAGGAAGCAAATGGGGAAGGCTGCTGGATCCTTATCCCAAGGCACAAGGGTACCCTTGTCTACATCCTGAGCCACATCTGGATGGAGCTGCCAGTGTCCCTCTGCTGCCGCTGATGTTCTCTGAGCCCTAGCCTCCCTCGCTGTGCCTCTTTAACGAGGCCCAGGCTAGTTTGGTGGCTACTGGATAGCAGTATGCTGAAGCTTGTGGTCTCAGGTTCACTGGGATTGATTCTAGCCATTTCTGGGCCTTCTGTGGGATTTCAGCCATCCATGTAGTGAACTAGAGAAGTGAGCGATCTGGAACAGGGTGTTACAGAAGATGGTGCATTAGCAAAGTAGTAGACGCCACCCAGGAAAGAGTGAGAGTGGGACAGAGACCCAGGGCAGTGGGTTGTTGTTTTTGTTTGTTGTGCGGGGTGGGTAGAGGGGAGTGGGGAGGGGGTCAGGCAACCCCTGCAGTAGGGCCAGGACTCAGGACCCCTGCAGGAGGCCTAGAGGGCCAGGACTCAGGATATCCATGAGAGAGGCCTTAGAGAAGCAACTTTCTGAGCCCCAGTGGTGATGGTGTTGGAGAGATGACCTAACAGTCCACACCCCCATTTCAGAAAAGATGAGTCAGAAGAACTAGATGGTGCCCGGCTACCACCAATGAACATCCTGACAGGGAACACAACAGGGGGTCCCTGATGGAGCAGTAGAACGATGGGATGCAGAACTCAAATACTAGTAAGAAGACCAGACTTAATGGTCTGACTAAGACTGGAGGTACCCTGGAAAGCATGGCCCCTGGTCTCTCCATCACCCCAGAACTAAAACAGTTTCCGAGGCCAACTCTTCAGATGGATTGGACCGGACTGTGGGACATAAAAGTGATACTCGTGAAGAATGTGCCTCTTAGAAAAGTAGATATAAGAGACCAAAGGGGCGGCTTCTGTCCAGAGGTAAGAGGGGAAGGCAGAGAGAGTTAGGAGCTGGTTGAATGTTCATGGGGAATCAGGGGCGGAGGGGAGGAGTGTGCTGTTGCAGAATCGGGTGAGCGGTTGGGATCTCATAACAATGTATGTTAAAAAAAAAAAAATTCTGTATGGGAGACTAA